GGGAAGAGAACCACACTCTGCGCCATGGGTTTAGCCCGACTATGTGGACCCGTGAAATTAATCCACTTCAAGAGCGCTACAATTGTCAAATTTACGGGAACCAGTGCGCATGGTGGAATTCTGATTTGTCTGAGAGATTTCTCAAATATCACTTGGCTGAGCGCACAAACCGAGATGACCACATTTTACTCATATGGGACGATTTCAGCGGGCATTGGACCCCTGAAGTTGAAGAATATGCAGCGTCTATTAACGTTATCCTACTTAAAGTACCGCCGCGTTACACGTACGTATGCCAACCGGCAGATATTTCGTGGAATAACCCCCTAAAAACTAGGTTGCGAGGTCTGTGGATCAACCGGCTGAGAGACCAACTTGTTGCGTATCGAGCCAAGGAGAAGCAGCGCCAGGAGAAAAGGGACAAACTCCAGAGAGATATTATTCGTGTGCGCAAGGATCTAGTGCAAGAGGAAGCAGAGTCTGAAGTTGAGCGACTTCGGAAACAGCATACAGAAGAGCCCTTTAAATTGGAGCCCCCAAAAAGAGACGACATTACGGAGTGGATATCAAAATGCTGGAACGAGCTTTTCAGAAAAGACAATTGTTAGTGAATTTGCAAAAGTAGGCATATTGGCTGATACTCGCCGTGCTGAGCAAGATTTTGACTCATATCCGGGACATATTGATAGCGAGCTTGTCCAAGAGCTGGAAAAATGCAATTGAACTGATGGTCATGTCGACTCTGACGATGGTATTTGAGCCGACAGACTTCCGAACAGGTCTAATTCGCGGTGCGCCTGATTCGATCGACAGTTTCCCATCTGTACTACATCATCCCATTTAGCTCGTAAATTTGATCTCGATCGTAGATAATTGTCCTCACCACTTATATCAGAGATCAGAAGACGAGGTACCAAACTTGTTGTAGCATTCCATCTGCTTGGTGTGGCAGCGCCGATGGATAATTTGAATCTGAAGCTGAGTCATTTTTCGTGGGAACTATGGTTTGAGGACGGGGATGAAACTTCCGTGCGTACTCTTCATCAAAGTCGCTATGACTATTAGCCCAGCTCTTTATTGATGATGATGACTTAACATAAGCTTGGGTCTCGTCAATGGTTCGTCATCACTGTCGTCCATGATCTCGCTTGAAGACGATGATGGAAGCGATGAGGTTGAGAGCGACCTCGTCTTGGCTAATGAGGTTGTGATCCAGAGTTCTGACTATATTTAAAAGGAATTAGTAACCCTCCACGGATCCGTTTCTAAGACCCTGCCAAAAAATATACATAAACGAAATAAAATATTTCAGTCCTATATACTATATATAATCATTATAAATGTTGAATATAGTTGGCCTATATCAATGTATTTGATTTTGCATGCTTTTCCAGCGACATAATACTTTTGGTATTGAGATCTATTACACGCCTTTAGGCCGTAGTTACTGCGTATTCACATCCCTTGCATTGCCATGTATGCTATTTAATCTGTTTTCTCAAGTGACGCGTACGACTAAGTGTCGCGCTATGCTCAATGACTGGGGTGGGGCCACCGGATCACCTGACGCACATGGCTGAAGAGATGTTGGGTCCTCGCGTTCCTGCACGTGAAGGTGTCGTTGACTTGGGATATCACCAGGCTACTGTCGCCGTCGATGTCGAGGATGGTGCATCCACCGCGTGGCACCAAAGACCGATTCAGCAGGGGTCAGGGGTCTTCACCCTTCCATCGTGGAAGCCGGATCGCTTGTCAAGGCTTGTTGCAAGGTTTCACGCAATGTCTTTGGCCCCTTCCGAAGTGGAAGCCGGATCGCTTGTCAAGGCTTGTGGCAAGGTTTTCACGCTACGTATTTGGCCCCAACGTGACGAAGTTTGTTTTAGTGTGTGTGTGTGGGGGGGACTTCTGCGGTGGCGGATACGAGCACCTGCCCAAGGTGCTGCGAGCCGTTTGCCTTAGCTCTGTGCCTGGTAAGTTCTTGGCGACCACACTCTGCTGGACCGCATCGTCCTGCGTTGCGTCGAGAGGCGCCATCGACTCGTTCAGTTATTGTGACACCCGCGCCGAAGGCGTACACGGAGTCACTATCTCGTCAGCGTTGTGCCAGCGTCATTAGCTGCGAAGCAATCAGCACATTGCAGAAGGGCTGACTTCACCAGGGGGAGGGGCTAAAGTCCTTTCGTCCTGATGACAGTCGGACGAACGCTCGACAAGATAGTTACAGCTTCCACTGCAGTATTGCTCGCTTAGTGCGGCTTCCGCAGTGCCAGCTATCGCCGCGGTGAGCTGTCTGGTAGGTTGTGGGGCAGCCTCAGTCTGCGTTGTGGCAACACGGGTCGACGCTGCTGGTACGGCTTGCTGATTCAGCTTGGCGCACGCTTGTGCATGACAAACAAGAAAGGGAGACGCTTGATCAGCTGTGGCTACCGTTGCTGAGGCAGAAGCAGTGGCAGGTGCTGCTGGACTTGGTCCAACCTTGACAGGATTGGTCAGCATACCGTCCGTGGACCACGGACACAGCCGTGCCACCACCTCAGGTGGCACCTGAGGTGGTGGCACGGCTGTGTGGACTTGCACACTGGCTGGGGGGGGGGGCACGAGTGGCGGGAGCAGCTTGGCTGACGGGGATTTGGTCTTATGCTGCGTCTGGTGGGGCTAGAGCGCGAGCGTACCACAGCTACAGCTGCGGCTAGTGCCGAATTCAGCTCATCAAGTACGGCGCGAACTGCATTCCCATCCGAGCAGGAGTACGGTGCTGAGCTCCGGTTTCGGGTAATGCGTGCGATGCTAGCATAGTATTGACCCAGTACAACCTATATGGTGAATACAGTTTTTCAGTCTAGACCGACCCTGTTCGTCGGGGTGGAGACTTAAATTCGGTTTTGTGCATTGTGTAAGGTTATGAGCATTGTGTAAGGTTATGACAGCACTGCGACGAGAAAAATGGCGACTACAGATCCATCCCATTCAAGTGCGGTGTTGACTTCGTTATGGTCCGTACGATCACCATGACAGCTACGATTTGGGTCCATGCCGAGACTACAGTACCAACAACAATACCACACCGTAGCAATGGTATTGTGATGCCTACCGACTTCGTTTAAAACACAGGTTTTGAGTTTGTTCACGCAGTGCTGCTATTAATTAAAGGGACACTAGATTTTTTAAACTGTACTCACCATACGAGGAGTTAGATTGTGCCGCTCGGTCCAAGAAACACTTGCCTAATATCTAACAGCTAACGGCAACCATCTTTTAAAAATGTTCGTATTGCAAATTCAAAAGTGAAATTGCCATTTTAGGGGGTGTTCTTATTTATAGAGACACCACTTAGAAGCTGTTCTATTTATCAATAGCACACCAATTTTTGAGAACTATTTGCGAGCCACCTTGTGGTGAGGCTTGACGGCCGGAGCCTGTTTCCGCTTGATCCACATGGCAATTTTAAACGAGCTTAGTATCTTACGGACGGTATGGGTCGTAGAACCTGGCCAATCGCCTCCGAAATACGTAGACGATAGTTTTTTACGGTAGCGAGTCGCACAACTTGTCGGATCAGGCGCTTGGTCGAGTTTGGTCGCCTTCCGAGTCGTTTGTGGAGATTTGCACGATTAGGAGCTTTCAATACGTTGCAGACAGCGCTCGGACTTCGGCCAATCTCTCGTGCTACCCAGCGCTTGCTTTTTCCAACCTTAAAGTGCACTTTTACCCGTCCTATCTCCTCCTCAGACAGTTTCTTGCCTCTTGGCGTCGTGGAGGTGCCTGTGGATTCCGAGGAGACGAGAGAAAAACTACAAAAGTGAATATTTAAACTGTAAGTTGAGTTTACGCACTGATCAGTGGTGCACTGGCACTTATAAAACAGGAGTCATCACCAACTTTTTATTTTCTTCGTGTAACTGTCAACTTGATATGCTGGCACTATAAAGAGGAGCTTGGCACCAATCGAGCGGAGCAAAAACTAAGGCCATGCATCCAGCATTACGACGAGAACGCTTCTGAAAGAGCTCATTCG